CTGTGAAACGTTGTGGTAGATTTATAATAACAGGAAAATCGGTTTTATACTTCAAAAGCAGCGGAAAGGTAAAAATTAAGTGACCAATTGGCGGGCGGCTTTGAATTTTATTTTAATCGATTTGGCTGAAAATCAAAGTTTGTGTTATTATCGTGGCTTGAAATAGTCAATCGCCCGCTGGCGACCAGCTGTGAAATTCTGGTCGCCAGTGCAAAATTTTTAGTCGCATTGGCGACCAGGAAAGCGCAATTTCGGACCCTGTATATTTCACTGAAAAGCCCCAAGGGGACATAAACGTATGTGTGTATGCGTGTGTGTGTGTATGTACCTACACTAATTGATCGTAAATATAAAACACCTGCTTTGGTTCAGTGTTTTGATTCACTGAGTTATATCCTCAGTATTTATAAATCATAAAGTAGATGTTCTATGGTAGAACATTTAAGACTACTCTCTGAAACTACCTGGCTGACCTTCAATGAGCAACTAAACAATAATGCAAAAAAAAAAACTAAACAATAATGCACGGCGTGGTAGTGTGACATAGGAAATCCTGTGTGAATTGTCTTGTGATTTCTTCTATCGGTGTTTCAAAATTATCGACATGGATGTTTTTTTTTGTTTTTTTTTAGGTATTGAGCTTAGAGAGTTTATTCCTTCCCTGGAATCCCTATTTGAAGCGGAAGAACTGACAAATGTCGGTCTGGCTGAAAATCCTCAGTTCCGGTTTCTTCTGAAATCAGGATATGAGCAGATCGCGAGAGCCTCTAGTCTCACCAGTTAAAGCTAGGATCACGTGTGTCATCATTTGACCCTGTTTCCAGTTTGACTTATGGTCCCTCCCAAGTCCCAACCATGTAAAATTAAACCGATAGCCACTTGCTATAAAACAAGTGAAATTTTTCAAAGCCTGCCTGTGCGTGAAATGTAACTGGGATCCTTTTATTATATATTAAGCTTGTTACACCATTGCAATTTAACCGTGTTATTAAACGATGACGTAAATCATGGTTCAGCACTCCTCTTTCTCCCGTAATAATTAGAGTCCGCGATCCTTTTGTACAGTCCAGTTTCAACACCGGAAATCCTCCATTATTGGGTGGCAATTTTGATTTGCTACATTGTCGTGCCCAGAGGCCATGATCCTTTTGGTCAGCACCAAGAATCGCGACCTCTGGGAAGGTCCAACACCGGAAATCCGCGACTCACTGACTTCCCGTCACTGTGTGCATGTTCAGTCATGTCTGACAAATCTGATTGGCTGAGAATACGAAACGATTACTCTGTACGCTCAGAAAATTGGACCTTCTCACAAGTCGCGATTCTTGGTGCTGACCAAAAGGAGCGCGGCCTCTGGGGACGAGAATGGACTCAAATCGAGTACTCTGCGCATGCTCAAATGACCGGGCCCGTCACAAATCCTGCTGATGACCAAGAGGATTGCGGCCTCTGGAGACGAGAATGACACTGCTAGTTCTTGCCTGCATGCTAGAATCGTCGGCCAATGACGTCACATGTAAATGACACGAAACAATAAAAGGTAGCGCGGGCAAGACGCGGGGGTTTCTTGGCAAGTAAGTGTTCGTTATATGTCTCCATTTTAACGCAATGTGGTTGAAATTTCATGGTTATATATCAAAGCTCGAGGGAAACTGTGCCGTTTCTTGACCAGCATTTATAACAAGACTTTCAAGCGCTTTTGCTATGGAAATGGGTAACACGATTGCGCTAATAACATTTGTTGACTATGGCAAGCGGTGACAAAAAATTCAGTTTGTATCCAGCAGCCAAGATTGAAATTAATTGGCATCGACGGAAAACTGTCTTCTGAAGCCAAGATTATAAGAGAAAGTCTGAACCAAGCAGCAGCAATGCCAATACATTTCTGTTTGCGAGCGAAAAAGTCTTGGCCGAACGTGAATGAGATCATAGCAAATATCTGCTCTTCCATCTTCGAAGGAAGAATGTTTCCATCCCGGTAATTCCATCTTCAGTACTGTCTGTATATAGATAACAAACAAATCGATTTGGACAAAAAGATATCTTAGCCAATAAATAGGCCATCTGTGGCTGCGCTTTTCAAAGACAGCATCCCAACTTAAACATGTCGTGGGCTTCACTGTCTGAAACTGCTTCACACCCAGGAGATTGATGGAAAATTTCTCAAACATAGTTTGACTGAACTCAGATGTTACCGACTACAGTTTTCTTCATTTTGATGCAAACTCTTTGGCAGGGTCTCTCATCTTCCCGCCCCCTGGGGCGAGAGAGGAGAGAGGGTCTCTCCTCGAAAGATGAGAGACCCTGGGAGGTTGATTTAAAGCCGGATCTTTAAATATTCGATACTTTCTTTTGGTCAAAAAGCATGACATGCCTTCTTTTCTCAAATGATTGCGTGATGTACATCGTGACGCTCACCACGCGAATAGCACGGTGTATTTACTCTAAACTTTAAAACAATCGACTCGGTGGTATCTTGCGCCAGGGCTTAAGAGCAAGGATGTAAAGGTGATTCAGACGCTCACATTTATAGGTCGTATAAAATTCGACACGTTATTTTATTTCAAAATCCTTGGTACAGTTTGACAGCCAGCTGACCCTAAACAGACCGCGATATAAATGCCGTGTTGAAAGCTGAACTTTCTAGACTAGCCGTTTTGTACTAGAGATCGGAGGTGACATGGCGGGAAAAGCCGAACATTCTAGATAAGTCGTTTTATATTGTTTTGTAACCCGGATGTAACGTTGCACGAATTGTTTTACCTCCCTATAGGGGTTGTAGAAACATGAGCTCGAAGAATAAATATGGAGTTCAAACATGGTGACCCGCGACGTGTTTAATCGCTAGCCTCGAGTGTTGTTTACTTTCGTTTGTCGCCAACGCCGATCGAAATGAAGACGAAACAAATTGATCAGCTGAAGAGAGCTCGCACAGGGTTGAGAGGCTGGATGAAAAGGGATTTTGACGCTATTAGAAACATGATTGAGTCCGACTCGCCTGAAATTGCTCGAGTGGAAGAAAAACTCGATTCGATTGTTACGAGATTGCAGAAAGCCGAGGATCTGCAGATGGAAATCGAGAAGCTCTTGGACGATGACTCGCAAGTAGGA